TACAACTAAATTACTTTTATGCCCTTGTTTATTTATTTTTAGAATTAATTATTTAAGGTATTATCTAATGAAATGACTGAACCAGAATTATAATATTACTTGATTATGTCAGCTATGACACAATATGTAAATTCATTAAACAACATTTATAGAACCAAACACCACACAAACAGCTTGCCCAATCTAGTCTCGTTCTCTTGTTCTGTACTATATTGTCTGCATAGCAAATGCTATCTTTCAGTACAAATATTTAATTTACCCGAACCTATGCCTATTAGATATTATACGCTTTATTACACATTGGCTTGGGGGATATAGCTCAGTTGGTAGGTTCATTTACTTCGGATTAAGGTCTTTAACGATCAACTCCATGTACATACGTGTAGATCTTTAAGACCTCTTTTTCTCGTTGGCTCCATTCTTTCTAGCAAGATCTTCGAACAGGCTGCCATCGAAGACACCTCTCATGGCTTCTTTTGACAGGTACCCTTCTTCATCTTTAGCAATAATGTATACAGCCGCCCATTCCAACTTACTTAGTATCCTGCTCAACGTTAAACAAATCGAGTTAATTAGCACTCGATTTAAATTTGCATGAAATGATCGTATTTGCAGTTATCGAAGCACAAACCAGCCCACAATGTCAAATGCAATGCGATTTCCTTCTGTCATGCTCCACAATTCTTTCAAGGTTAGCTTATCGGGTGCTGTTTTGCCATATTTGCTAAACATTTCCTCAAAGTTAACTGGCATATACCTATTGATGAAATCAGTTATGAAGTTAAACTAGATGTTGTTTTGTATAACACTGAGAAAAGGGTCATTTAGGTATATAACATCAAATGAGATTTTAATTAAATAGTGAAAAAAATGGTTCAATATCAGTAAGCAGGTTACGGGTGGACCCAAAAAAAATGGTTCCATATATATCCAGGATCATTTAGGTATCTAATATTAAATGAAATTTTAATGAAATCTATGACCTCTTGATATATAAATGAAAAATGGTTCCATATTCATCAGAAGATCATGGAACTTTTTAGCAGTGGACCCATGGTATCTGCCGAGAGGGTGCACTATTAAAGTGTACCAAATGTTAATAAAGTTGTAGTTTGATCGTGTGGATCAAAACGGTTTGACTAGGAAAAAATCAATTGTATCGAATTGAGTAATAAAATGCATTTGTTTCAAATGGATAGAGCAAGACGTAAGGCTACGTCTTAGGTGTAAACACAATGTGTTTTTAGCTGAATTCCACTGTTTTGAGAGTTTTCTTTTCCAGTTTTTTGCATGCTTTTGAGGCATTTATTTAATTAAAATCTCGTTTAAGATCTGTGCACAGTGTTAATAAAACCAAACTACCTTCCTTCTGTATCATATGTCCCGGTATCACTTGGATGTTTGCCTTTATGTATGTTGGCTATGTAAACTGGTAGCAGCAGGGAAGGTATATAACCCTGCAAAATATAAATACACAAAACAATCAAGAGGACAAAATGCCAAAGAGAGCCTTTGGATGTGTTTGGTGTGCAGTACAGATCAGACATAATAGTACAAAAAGTAGTTATCTTAAATGATACGACATTAGACTGGGCATGACAAGAAAGTATGTGAATGGTGCAAGACTGTAATTGTATCTATCCCAACAAGCTAGGAGGAAAAAGAAAACTAGAGAGATGGTACAAGATTAGTAAATTACTTAACTACCCATCTCAAATTAAAAGTTTAAAACCTTTTTGGATTATTTCACCCCATATACCTCATTCTCGTCTGCAGCGCTGATCTCGACATTTTAGAGGCCTCGAGCAAAAACTTAAATGTGTCCCTATACTTTTTTTAGTTGTATACATGGAAGTATAAAATAATTATAAACAAGATTCAGATAAAAGTTAAACAACATATACATCGTTAAATTAATGCTCATAAATCTTCTAAGATTAATCTAATGATCAGAGTAAAAAGTTAAGTAATCACAAAATTAAAAATACTGACATACTAAGTAAAACTTACAATATATAACAGAAATAGTTTAGTACTCAAATAAAAACCTATCACTAGCTACTGCATACATTTTTACAGAAAATGAAGACACACAGTTAGACATTGTTATTTTTTGAACGCAAATTTTCAAACATTTTTAGAAGCAAAACCATCGATCATATAACTATCTGGTTTCCTTCATCGACCCGGAAGGGAAGAAACCTAAGAAGGATTAGAATTTAATGACAACGGCAACAGAAAGAAACCGAATGAAGTAGTTGGGGATTTTTTCTCTTTAAAAGATAATTTAGAGGAAAAAAAATCACGAAAGACAAATAGAAAAATAATAAATAATAAAAACTTTAATTAGGTTCATTTAGCTTTAATTTATAATGTAAAGCGTTATTCAACTGAACGTATATAAGTTATATAACTTATTTTACTAATCATAATACCATAAATAGTTTAAAATACTTAAGAGGCGGCCTCGTGCGACGACACCATTCGGAACACCCCTAGGAAACCACAAGGGTGGTGTCTGATTGGTTTGAGCTTGACTCCAAAGGTAAAAAGTACTAGGAGGTCCCAGGTTCAAACCCAAGTAGGAATAAAAATCCTCTTGTGGCCACGGAGGTTCAAATGCGATGACTCCGGGCTATCTGCAAAGCAGATGGTCGCCCTGGGATTAGTCGGCTCACTTAGCGGGTTGGATATCTAGGTTAATAAAAAAAAAAACACCTCTAGAAATGGTCCTGCTCGTCTGTTTAGTCATGTCTACCAACCGTAATAAAAAAACACCTCTAGAAATGGTCCTGCTCGTCTGTTTAGTCATGTCTACCAACCGTAGTATGAACTCTTGGAAAAACACATGAACAAACTTTGACTTACTGGGAGGGTGGGGTAAGTAAATGTTATATTGAAAAAGAATCCCGCGATCAAAGAAAAGAGTACGTTGAACCCGATTGCTCGAAGCCCTGAAAGAATTGTTACACATACAAACCAAACATAACCATTCTTGGAAGCGGAAAACTTGTGGCGGTCTTTTGTCAATAAAAAATACGTTGTCCCAAAATCCCACGTCTCATCTCTCTCCCACCAATCAAATTTAGACAAATCGGATATTTATATTTATACTTTAAGTGTAGTTAATTCAAGTTCACCGTTTCAGTTATCATGATGTGTATTTCTGTGATTGGTGGAATGGAATGAGACTGGGAATTTGTGACGAGAGATCTTTATCCATCTTCACCTATGTACGTCTCCCAAGGATAAACGATTCCATCGTTGTCTTGATCAAAAAAGGCAACGTGTTGTTGGAGCACACTCATGTCTCGAGCTCTGTGTTCTGGTGTGCCATCAGGATGCTCCATGTCTGGTGCAGCCATAGCTCTAGCCATGTCTTTTAAAGAACGCATAATTAGTCCAACCAAAAACACTCATGCACCAGTCATGCATGAAGGAACGAGAACTTACAGGGTTTAGGAACGGAAGACTCAAGGTTGGTCGGAACGGGTCGTTGGGCGGTCACTGGTGCCATCGGTGCCACCGTCGCCATTGCAATGGAGTCTTGGGCCATCTTCACTTTTTTGTATGTGGAAATTGAAGGGGATGCGAATGGTATTTATAGAGAAAAATAAGGATTGGATATGACTCAACATGAAAAGGCAAATTGTGGTGGATATTAATAAACTAATTTGGAATGAGGAGAGACGTGTGGGAAAACAATAGTCAAATTCTTCTATTTTTTTAAATAATAATTAATGAAAATATAAATAAAATAAATTGTTTTGTTTTATCTATATCTATACCATATTATAAAGCACTTGTCAAAAACTCTTAAAAACCATATTTTATTTTAAAAAAATTGTTTATTAATGCATATTACTTAAAACTCAAGATTACAAGTAGATTGTGCGTAAGTACAACTTATTAAAGCTCCTTCATTATTAAACTTAAATTAAATTACATAAAAAATAGAATTTTTAAATAGTTGATTTGATATTAACATTGATATATATTTTTTTAAATTTATATTTTATTCAAAAATAAAATCATTATTGCTTTTTAAAACCACATAATCTATATTATATTATAAAACATTTGACAAAAACTCTTAAAAACCATTTTTTATGCGTAAAGTACTGCTTATTAATTCATATTACTTAAAACTCAAGATTACAAGTAGATTGTGCATAAGTACAACTGATAAAAGCTTCATATCTGAATTCGAGTAACTAACTGCAGATAAACATAATCAAATACACGATAAAATCTCATTTTAAATATAAAAAACCTAAAATATAATTAGGATAATCATTGAGTTCAAACAAAATAATTAATTATTATCTTTATAAAATGTTATATTATTAAACCAAAAATAAATTATTTCGTTAATAAACATAAATTAAATTATCATATAAAAATAAATTAAAAAAATTACATAAAAAATGAACACTTTTAAATAGTTCATTTGATATTAACATTGATATATATATATTTTTTTTCAAAATTTTATGATATCTTCAAATTTATATTTTATTCAAAAATAAAATCATTATTGCTTTCTTAAAAACACATAAAATCGTATTATAACATCGACATAGACAAATAATAAAATAGAACATTAAAATCGAGATGTGTCTTGCTGCATTGCGCGAGTACTCTTTTAGTATAATATAATGGGTCCGTTTTTACAAAAGTCCAAATTTTCATTCCACGTTAAAATGCAGGAATAAATTCAATACAACTTTGGTAAACAAATGTTTTAATGTCTTTTAATGTGTTTAATATAATGGGTCGGTTTATTAATGTGTTTTGAACCTTGGCCTTCGATTATATTCTACGTCATAAATGATCGGATCTGATGTTTACTCCTGAAATAAAGAGCAAACATAACGGATATCGTGGTTAGTACAGACTAAAGGGTGTTGTAGATATTTGTGATCATAGGTCGAGGATGGCGTAATCATGGACAATCACGACCATAGGTCGAGGATAGTATAGTCGTGGATATCTTGGTCGCAAATGTCTCGGTCGTAGATATTATCTTCGACGGTCGTTGTCAGATGGTTTTCACCAAAATAGTTAGTAGCATGTTGATTGGTCTTGTTTGGTACAATTTGCCATCATTGGTTAAAAGTAGAAAGTAAAAATGTTAATGTCAAACGGTTTAAAAATGCCAAAATATAGTCAACTTTTAGGACATCTGAACAAACATGTTATACCTCGTCTGAAAATTGACATTGATCTGAATTCGTTTCGACAAGTTACCTAACTTTCTCGGTTTGGCCCGTTTGTATAAGATCAAACTTGAAGCAGATGTGGGTTGGAGGAGGGCAGACACGATCTAAGATTGAAGCGAAATTCGAAACAACCATGTAGTAGTCAAGTAGAATCAATTGTTCTTCTTCTCGAACGTTGGGTGCAAGGGAAACGAGATATCTGATCTGAGATGGTGACGATGGCTCAATCACAGGTGTTCTTCTCAACCGCTTGCATGATTTCAAAGATATGGGTTACAACGCTGCAGGTTTTCTTCGGTTGTAGGTGTTCAAATATCTCGTTGTTGGTGTTGTTTATAGATCTGGAGGATTCTTTGGAGAACTCATTTGATCAAGGGCATAGAGAGAGAATAGGAGTTACGGTTTTCTAGCAAAAAAGAAAAGGGTAAATTGGTCATTTTTGTCTTCTGATTTAACAAACAAATACACAGACATTAAATTAAAGAACCAAATCCAATACAAATTATACAGGTAGAGACTTATCATGAAATAAGCAACAATAAAAATACCAGATCCATAACATAACAATTCACAAACAACATGGACCGAATCCGTAATTTACTAAAAAACCATAAGAAACTAGGTTTTTTCATAGGTTCGACATCATTAGCCAGCCTATTTATCGAAAGTTATTTTAATAATTAAAATATGTCGTATATTTGGTATAATATTAATATTTTCGTTTGGAAATAAATGGTCTCACTAAATTTGCATTTAATGGATAGTTGGGTACGGATGTAAATGATGATGGGATAACTTCTGAGTTACTTGAGATTGATTCGGTTATCATTCGACTTAAGTAGGTTCGGCTTAAATTCAAGCTCGACTCGAGATACTAACGAGTCAAGTCGAGCTACCTAATACTCGACTCAAAAAACTTGTGAGATACTCGATTTTATTTATATATAATTAGTTTTATAATATAATTTGTAAAATATAATGTAAAACTTTATTAAAAAAAAGAACTTACTAATAAAAAGAAAAAAGTCGTATATTTTTAGAGATTTGATAAAATTGTACATTTTTTAACTATAAAAATTAAACAATATTTTTTTTATTAAAGGTCGTATATTTTTCGAGTTTGAGTTGAGTTTACTTTTAAGGTTCTCAAGATACTTGTGGCATGGACGGACCCACATTGGTGCCATCAGTGGCACGTGTCACCCGTATTATTTCTTCGTCGAAGGATACAAAAGTTTAGGTTTGTGAAAGGTGCAACCGTATTAATTTGTTGTGTGTCACTGTATGTATTTTGAAACTACAATGAGAACAAGTTTTCTTCGATATAGTTGGTTTGTAAGACTTTTCTTCCACCCAAGACCCAAGTTCGAATCTTGTTAGTGTCATTTTCTTAGTCAAATGGTACCACTATTTGAATTTTTTTCCCTATATTTGTTTTTTATAGCCAAATGGTATCACCGTTTGAAAAAAAGATTGGGTCTGTCCCTGACTGTGGTCCTCATTTGAACCACAATTATATTGAAAATTGGAAACAGATCTTATCCATCCAAACAATTTGATATAATAATTCCTATTAAATGTCGTTTTTCACTAAAAAAAACCGTGGAAGTAATAGTTGTTAGATGTCAATGTCTTGGACAAAGAAATGATGTACGATCTGCGTTTGTGTTGGGTTTGTTGACAAAGAAATATCAAAATTGATTGGTAACATTTATTAGATAATCAAGTTTATAGTTTATGGGTAGTTTTGGTTAAGGAATCAGGAACCCGGAATCTGGGAACTGCTTCCAACGTAATACATGACATATTAATTAAGAATGTGGACGTGAATTTATTCATCATGAGTATTGTAAAAATTTCTACATGAATGTGTGATTCATGATGAATAACATGTCTACATTCATTATGAATGTACGATTCATGATGAATAACACATGAGTATATATATATATATATATATATATATATATATTATAAAATTATGATTCATAATGAATGATACGTCCATATTCATCATGAATTTGTTATCAATGATTAATATTCATTCTGAAAAAGATCATGTGGCACTCCGTAGGCGGTTCCCAGATTCCTAATCAATTTTGGATTACTAATGAAGCTTCCTTGTTATATTTTGACTTCATTGAACCATATTATGTAACTTTTATATTTATTAACGAATATATACGGTGGAGCTCCTGATTAAAAATGGGTTTTGTAAATCAGAAAACGCAATCAACTCCACTTTTTTCTACGTCTAATCAAACCAACCATTGTAAAATAAAGATTCCAGTGGAGCTCCTGCGATGTCTCCATCTTTTTCTCTATTAATGCGCTTCCCGATCAAACTAGACATTACTTTTAACGTTCAAATCCGTCACAACTTCTTTTTTATGCAAACAAAAAGATGTTGGAAATACAGGCGAATCAATACTCATTTTAGTCCTCAGACATGTAGGTCACTTGATAAATGGGAGGAGGGACTTTGCTCAAATACACAACCAGGGCCGTCCTTGAGGGAGCGAAGGCCAAGCGTACGGCCCACAAGAAATGGCCCCCTTTTTTCTATATAATATATAATAATAATTCAAAATATATATATATATATATATATATATATATATATATATATAAGAGACAAATATTTTTAGTATCTAATATGGTGTAAATTTTTTTAGCATTATATTAAGGGTCCAAGTATATATTAAGTAAGTATATCGGAGAAGAAAAATATATAAAAAAAGATTAATTGGTTGTTCATTTTATATTATTGTTTATTGGTTCTCTAAGTTTTTTTATCTACTACTAAAATCTAAAACTACATTGCATAGAAAAATATTGATATATTCTCCATCATTCATTCCGCACTGACTCTTTTGATTATTCTATCTGCATGGATTCTATTTTTGTATTAGAATGTAGTAGATTTCTTGTTATTAACTAAGAAACTCCTATTTTTTGAAAAAAAATATTATCAATCATATAACACGATCGAGCTTATATATATATTTATGATTTCAAAGCTACTTTTGTCTTTTCTTACATTATTGACTCCTTGTTATCTAATACTGAGTGCATGAATCTTAAGTCTTCTCATATCTCTAAAACACCAATAAGATGTCAAATTTTAACCAAGATGGACTTTTGATTATAAGATTGATGGTTTCTAAAACTTTGGTTTGTTTAAAATAATGATGAAAACATTAACGTGATGTGACATGAAAACCCAACTGATTTATACTGATTTAAATAAAGTGTTAATCTGAATAGTCAATAGTGTGACCTAAAATAATGTCAATCTATATACTAATGTGTTTAGCTGTAGAACGGATTTACGATACTATGTAAA